CTTCCTTCCGAGGAGTGGCTGGTGGGTTTGAACCGCCAGCCTTCTGGTTAGCAGTCAAGTGCCTTAGGGTGTCCATGAGTACAGGGAGGTGGGTAAGAGGTGTGGGGAAGGCTGGGGGAGGGGGCAGGCGAGAGGAGAGGGACTCGGTAGCCAGGCGGCAGGTGTTTGGGGAGGGCTTGTAATAGGTGACAGGTGTGTAAGGGGGTAAGCAGGTGTTTGGGAAGGGCCAAGAAAGGCAGCAGGTGTGCAGGGAAGGTTGTGACAGCAGTCCAGGGGCGGTAGGTGTTTGGGGAGGTGTGCAGGGAGGCCCTAGGGGTGTGGGCGGGGCGGGGACCTCACGTGGGGGTGTGGACGACACTGACGGCGCAGTTCCGCTGTGGCTGCGTGGGCAGCCAGGTGCGGGCCATGTCCACCAGCAGCCCAGCGTCCAGCAGCCCGTAGCCATAGTGGTGGCTCACTGGTGAAACAGAGGGAGGGCGTCAGTGGCCTGGCGGGCGGGCGCCCCCACCCGTGGTCTCACCTGGGCGGCCGCTGGCCCCGCCCCCGCCGCACCTCTACGGCCCACGCCATTGGTCCTCCAGTCTTTTGCCTGCAGCTGCGCGGGCTTGGACGCGCGGACCACCAGGTGCTGCATGTCCCTCCACGTCAGGAACGGGCTGGGGAAACGGGACAGGTGAGCGGGGGGCCGGGCGGGGGCCAGGGCGGGGCGGGGGCGTCACCCACTTAGCTTCCAGGGCCAGGGCGATCATGCCCGCCGCCAGCGGGGCCGAGGCCGACGTGCCCGTGTGCTTGTCGGTGCACTGGTGGTGCAGGTCCGTGGTGACCTGGGGGCAGATGAGGACGCAGGTCTGGGCCAGCTCGGGAAAGCCTCGGGGCCCTTCACCCCGAGAGGCTGCACGCCAACTATAGGACATTCTGGAAAAGTTCTAACTCCAGAGACGTGACATCAGCGATTGCCAGGGCTTCAGGGCGGGGATGAGGGACTAACTGGAGCCCAGGAGGGCAGTGTAATGATTTTGCGTGACACTGTAATGGGGGATACATGACATGTATTTGTGAAAACCCGTGGAGCCAGACAACACAAAGAGTAAGCCCTGGTGTGATTAAAAAGAAAATTGCCGAGTGGTTGTCTGTGACTGTGGCGGTCTCTTGTGTGTCAAAGCAGGGCTGCGCTGAACAGCTGTTTAATGGCTGTGACCTTTTGGGTGTAGCCCGGCCAGGCCTTTCTTCTGAACCATCTAGGTGGCCTTGAACCAGCCACCCTTCAGTTAGTGACGCGCTGAACCATTTGCAGCACCAGGGACTCCGCACGTGAACTATACAAAATTCTCACTGCTGAGGAGTCGGACCTGACTCACAGCGACCCTTCCTCGGGTTTCCGAGACGGTATCTCTATAGAAATAGATTGCCCAACCTTCCTTCCAAGCAGTGGAAGGAAGGTTTGAACCTCCAGCCTTTTGGTTAGCAGTCAGATGCCGCTTAGTTAATAATTGTTGTTGTTGTTGTTATGTGCCGTCGAGTCGGCCCCGACTCATAGCGACCCCTCCTTGGGTTTCCAAGGCAGTTATCACTACGGAAATAGGATTGCCCAGCCTTCCTTCCGAGGAGTGGCTGGTGGGTTTGAACCGCCAGACGTCTGGTTAGCAGGCAAGTGTCTTAGCCACTATGCTACCAGAGCTCCCTAGTTAATAATTATGTATCAATATTGGCTTGTCCACTGTAACAAATGTGCCACAGGAATGAAACATATTAGGGATGGAAGAAGCCTTGTGCAGGGAGAGAGAGGGGTATGTAGGACCCTTTGCACTGTAAAGCCCCTGCACCCGCTGAGATGGTGGTGCTGTGGGAGGGAGGCCTGGCATTCTGTTTCTGTTACAATGACGGCCAAGAACGTGCCACGGGACAGGCCTGCTGGGTAACACGGGGGCACCACCAGTCGGTGTAGACTTGACAGCCATGGGCACTTTCTGAAAACCTAAAACTGTTTTAACTACTAACTTAAAAAAAAAAAAAAATGTGTAAAGGGTTTCAAGATGGGGACACAGCACATTCATCTGAGCCCAGGCTCCAGGCCCAGGAAGCCACCAGGGCCTAGGAGGTCGGCCAGGAAGGACTCCCTAGGACTGTGGCCGTGTCTGTATTACAGGGGCCGTCGGGACAGGACTCCCAAGGAGATCTGCCACTGAATTAACTCCCATTTCTGGGGCCTCTACCGTGTGCTAGGCTCCAGGACCTCAGCACTACCTGGGAGGTACTACCCAGGGCAGGGGGTGGGACCACGAGCAGGGGGTGGGGGCTGAGTCTACCGTGCGGGGCATTCTGGGAAGGCTTCCAGGAGGCATCGGCGTGGGCAGAAGGGTAAGCAAGGGCAGGAGGGGGAAAGGCATTGAGGACAGAGGGAACAGCCTGTACAGCGGCCTTGAGGTTGGGCACAGGAGACAGGAGGTGCCAGCCGGGAGTGGGAGGCGGTCACAACACTGTGGCAGCTGTTTCATTTTGAGGCATGTGAGCATTGAAAGCAGCTTCTGCTGAATGTGGAGAAGTCGCTGTGGTGGAGGTGGGGGCAGAGGTGGGGGGACAGGGAAGGGCCTGGGGAGTGGACAGGGGTGAGGGGCAGTGACCAGGGAGGGCGGGGGGCCCAGAGAGGGGTTTGGGACAGGAGCAGAAATGGTGAGACAGGGAGGGATGGGGGAGTGGGGGTTGGAGGTGGAGGACCAGAGAGGGGTGGGAGACAGCAGTGGAGGTGGGGGGACAGGGAGGGGTCAAACAGGAGTGGAGGTGGGGGGACAGGGAGGGCAGGGGGCGGGGCTGCGGTGGGCACCAGGCTAGAGCGGGGCAGAACCCGGTGGCCCTGACGGCGCATTGGAGGCGGCACTCACAATCTGCGGGTCAGTGGCGCCGCCGCTGCTGTAGGTGGTGGTGAGCGTGGAGGCACAGGCCTCGCTGTACCAGGGCACGTGGCCCTGCTGGGTGGTGCTGCCCACCGACAGCGTGTGGATGCTGTTGGTGTAGCCGTCACAGTTGCAGTTGTCGTAGTGCAGCCCACCATTGCCGGACGCCCAGACGAACAGGGTGCCCAGCCCGCTGCGGCCCTGGGGGAGCCGGGACATGTCGACGCGGGCGCAGGCATGGCCCCCGCCCCTGCTGCCCGGGCCCCACGCACCTTGGTCACACCACGCTGGAAGGCCTCCCGGGTGAGGGTGCCGGGCCCGTCCACTGTGCGGCCGTCGTCCTCCGGGCCCCAGCTGGCGCTGTAGATGTGGATGTGCTGTGGCTGCAGGCTCAGAGACTGGGCCTCGATGATGTCTGTGATGGTGCCATCCAGCATACGCACGCCTGGGATGCCCGGCGCCTGAGTGGGGCCACCCCACGCCTGCCCACAGGAGCCCGCTGGAGCCCACAGCCTGCACCCACCACCAGCACCTGCACTGCACCCAGCCATCTCCATGTGCTCCCCTGCCTTGGATCCCTCTCTGCCTCCTGGGAGTTGGGGATTGCAGATGGGCTCTGTTCTCCCCCCAGCCTTAGTTCTGGGCCTTGGCATCACACCTCCCCCCTGGCCTTGGACTCAGGTGCTGAGAGTCCCCCCCACCCCACATAGCCTGTCTGCCCTCTTGTCTCTGGCCGGGTGGCACCTCAGGGGCTGGCTACCTCCAATTCGGGCATTGTAGGCAACACCGGCACCGCAGAACTCGTTGTTGGCCACTGCGGCCACTTCCCCAGCACAGCGGGTCCCATGTCTGGTGCCAGGCGAGAGGGGCCCTGTCACAGCCCAGCTGCCCCCACAGGCCAGGGGGTCTGCCCCCATATCCCATGAGACCCTGGCTCACCGGTTCTCATCACTGGGTGTGTATCTTGGCTGGGGGTCTCGGTCATAGTCGTTAAAGTCGTAGCTGGCCAGGGGGTCCTGCAGGGGGTGAGGGGATGTCAAGGGGTGCAGGGAGTGGCAGTTCGCAGGTGGGGCTTCAGGCCATGCCCCGCCCCCCGCAGCTCAGTAGCTCACGTAGTTGGCCCAGAGGTCCGGGTGGTCCTTCTCAATTCCGTCATCCAGGATGGAGACCACGACCCCCTGGCCCGTGAGCCCTTGGCCCCACACCTGCTGTATGTTCAGGTCGGGCTGCACGTCTTCGTTCTGGGCGGGGCAGAGCATGGCTCAGAGGGGCTCCAGCCCGCCTGCCCTCCAGCCCTGTCCCGGCCACTCACCATGTACCACTGTTTGTGGAACCAGGGGTCAGTGGGCACTGCCAGGGAGCGCTTCACCCGCCGCAGCCGTGTCTGCTGCTCAAACCACTGCACCTGGAGGGAGCATCATGTGAGGGGCTGGACGGCTTCTTGAGTCCCCTCCTCCCTGCTCAGCCTCTGCTCACACCCTACCCCGTGGGGAAGGGAGGCCCGTGGGCCTGAGTCTTCCCTACTCGTTCCCTATCCAGTGATGGGAGCCCCTGCCCCCCTGAGCAGCCAGGGGACCACTGTGAGGGGCTGTGTGGACCAGAATGCCCAGGGCTTGTAGCTGGGGCCTTTCATGACACCAGAGAGCCAGGGCCAGAAGTGGGGCCCTGAGACCTTTGAGTTTGTTGGGCCAGCTCTTTGGGGTCCCCACCCACCTGGGACTCTGCCTTCAGCCAGGGAGGGCTGCAGCCTCAGAGCACCCACCCCAGGGCCCACAGTGTGGAGGCCACAGCCCAGGGTGGCAGGGGGTCATCAGGCCCCTGCCCTGCACTCCCAAAGCCAGCTGCTTTTCTCTACCCACCCCCACGGTGCAGACCGCCCTGCGATGGCTATGCTGGCCGCCTCCCTGTGCCCAGCTGCCCTCCTGCCCCTCTCAGCTGCACAGCGGCCTCACTCCCTGTCAAACTCCCCTGTCACACTCACCTTAAGGCCCTGCCAGCCCCCACCTGCCGCCTACTGCAGCCAGGATGACTGCTAGTTCATTTGTGCCACAGGACCTTTGCATGTGCCATTCTGCCTGCCTGGGCAAGCTTCTCCTCAGAGCCTTGCTCTGCCCTCTTCTTGCCTTCAGCCCCCAGCCCCCAGCCCCACCTCGAGACCACCATCTCCCCAGCTGCTGAGCAGAGCTGGTCCCAGTTCTCTCTCTGTCCCATGCATCCCATCCGGTGGCAAGTCCTGGCCTGTGTCCTTCAGGCCACATCTCCAACCAGCCACTTCTCTCTATTCCTTTCATGGTCCTCCCAAGGCCTGCCAGCCTCAGTTTCAACTCCTCTGCTGGGCATTTGAGGCCTTCTCAATGGGGAGCTGGCCTCAGCTGGCTAGGGCACCTCTCCAGGCATCTGGGATCTGAACCCTGGTTTCCATTCAGCCACGGACTCATTAGGCAACTACAGGCAAGCCTCCAACCTTTGGCCTCAGTTTTCTCTTTTGTAAAATGGGCCAATTCCCCTTCCTCCATCCCAGGAGCTCCTTCTCAGTAGAGTATCTGGGGCCCTTGATCATTGAGGGTGAGCTAGCGGAGGGAAGGGGGACCCTGTGCCAGGCCCTGGGTGAAAAGCCCACATTGCCACAATTGCCCCATGTAGCCTCTTTCCAGAAGTGTAGACAGGGAAACTGAGGCTCAGAGAGGGTAGCCACAGTCACAGAGATGACAGGAGGTGGCTGAGGCCTCGAGGGGACAGCCCTCAGGCTGGGCTCACCTTGAGATCTTTCTTCAGGCGCAGACGGTGGCCCCAGTGCGGGTTCAGGGACCGCTGGACCACGCCCCGGTGCCACAGGTGGAAGTACTGCCCGTCAGGGAAGATCTGAGAATGTGGGGAGAGGGGGCCGCTGCATAAATGGGATCTGGGGCCGCTGCTGGAGCCCCTCAAGGGCAGGGACAAAGCCCGAGTGCTTGCGTCCCCCAATCAGGTGCCCAGGTGGGGGCTCCGGGTGCCCTGGGAGTCTTGATATGTGAGGGAGGGCGGTGTCTGGAGACCCTCCTCCCAGAGTCTGGGGTCATGTAGCCCCCACCCCCTTCCGGGTCCATCCGCGTCCCTCCCACCTGCCCCAGGTTGACGAAGCCGAACTTGCGCGATAGGCGTTCGGCCTCCAGGTTCCCTTGGGACACCCGTACGGCCCAGCTGCTGACATAGACTGGGGCCCGGGCCGAGGCCCACCCCATAGCCAGGGGGCAGACGAGGGCCAGGCCCAAGGCCAAGGTCAGGCACAGCCAGAGTGCAGTCCCGGCGGGCCGCATGGGGGCGGGGCCGCGGTGGGGGCGGGGCCTTTAGAAGGTCCTCCCCCCGCCAAACGGCACTAGCGCCTGGCGCCATAGCAACCCTGGAGGGGCTTCAACTCCCAGAGGTCTTTGCGGCTACCCCATCAAGGGGCGCGAAGATCCGACGGTGATGGTGGTGGGGGTGACACATGGCCACCCTGGTTCTACCACAGGCCCCAATCCTCTGGAGCCTCAGTTTCCCAATTTGTACAGTGACCCAAGTCTCCTGACCCACAGAAGAGAGTTCATTGTTGCTACAGTTGGCCCCACTCCTTTCTTTGGCACCTTCCACTTTTCTTAGCACCCCTCCCTCTCGAATCAGCCCGGCCTTCTCTCTGGTCCAATCAGTTAGCCCCGCCCCATCCCCGCCCCTCAGGTTGCACCTCCCCTCCTTTGTGATCAACCCCTCCTTCTCTGGTCTCATTAATGAATCGCTCCGGTTTCTCCAATCAGCTCCCGTTTTTCTCCCGCAAGCTCCACCCTCCCCACCATGCTTCTCTCCCGCAAGCTCCACCCCCTGGCCCCGCCTCTCCAATCAGCTACGTCCCACGCCCAGCTGGCCAATCGGCGCCCTCTGCCGCCACGTCCCGCCCCCTGCCGCCCGTGTCGCCGCTGCTGCGGCGGCAGCCCGCCAGAGGGCGATGCGGCGGAGGAGACGGGGCAGGCCCCACCTCCTTTGTCCGCCCTGCCCTCCCATTGGCCCGAGCGGGGGGTCGGGGGCGGAGCGCTGCGACCGGCGGCGCTGGGCAAAGAAGGCGCGCTCGAGCCGGGCGGAGAGTGTGGGGCGGCGGTCAAGCTCCGGCTGCCATCCCCAGCGCCGCTGCCATGGACGGTCTGCGGCAGCGCTTCGAGGAGCTTCTGGAACGGAGGAACCTGGCCAGCCAGGTGCTCGGGGCACTCGAAGCCAGGACCGGTGTCGAGAAGCGGTATTTGGCCGCGGGTGAGCCTTCGGGGGACGCTAGGGGTCCCCACCCCATTTCACCGACGGGCACACTGAGGTCCTGGAGGCCTGGGTTGTTGAAGCTGACCTCCAGCCTGCTTTGGCTGCGGGGCGCGCCCCATTGTCAAGGGGGGGACACCGAGGTCCTGGGGAGGGGGCTCGTACCGTGGTCTGTGGGCTGCCCCCAGCCCTTGCCCTGCCTCTGTGAGGGCCACCCCTTCGCTCAGCCTCAGCAGCAAACCGCCTCCACCCTCGGTACTTGGCCAGGTCTGGAGGCCATCCTTGGCTCTCTCTGTGCTCTGGGTGTCCGCCAGGACCCAGTCCTGTTTTTCCAGTTGCCCAGGGGGTCCCGAGGGAGGAGGGTGCAGACTCAGCTGCCAGTCCCCCTCTCCACATGAGCCCCAGTCTGGGAGAAGTGTAGAGATCTCCTGGTGTTTCTGAGCTTCCCTCGCATTCTTTGTGGGCACAGTATTCCCTCTTGGCCTGCCCTCTCTCTTCCTTCTACCTCCAGGGCTCAGCCCCACTGTAAGTAAATATTTGACGAGTTGGAGCTGGGTTGTCTGACAGCTGCCATGGAAGTTGCAGAGAAATTCGACTAGGGTTGATGGGAGGGAGGTGTGTGTCCAACCCCAAGCCGGGTTGGTTCTGACTCATTCCCGTTCTTGTATGACCTTGGGGGGGGGCGCCCGGCCCTCTCTGAAAACTCATTTTCCGGTGTCCAAGGTCCACTTCTTCCAGAAAGACCCCCTGGAATGAGTCACAAGGGTGTTTTGTGCAGACTCTCAGGGGAGAGGGCGTTCCTGAAGCACTGCCGCGTTTTGAAACATCTCCGGGTACAGATTCTGGGAGCTGCGCCCCTCCCTCCCTCCCACCAGGGCAGAGAATCTCAAATTTATCCTTGACCCCAAAGGCCCCTGGGCTCAGCCAAGTGCAGGCTCCGACCTCTGCCCTGCCTTTCCTCAGCCCTAGCACCCACAGCCAGGAAATTTAGGTCATAGAGCAGCAGGGAGGGAGGCTTTTTTTGGGGGGGCAAGCTGGGGAGCCTGGGGAGAATAGGGAGGTGGGGGCTGTATGGTAGGTAGCCTTCCCCCACTGCCGGTCCCCTGTGCTGCTGACCCCCAGGGCCAGCCCCACAGTCTCATGTCTTAAGATCATCCTCCTAGTGCTGAGGCTGCAGGAAAAGGGATTTGGGGGCTGGTCCCACCCCCTTGAACAGATGAGGTTGCCCTTGGGCCCTATGCTGTCACATGACCAAATCCCATCCAGTTAGCAAATGTGTATAAAGCCCCTCCTCCTGCTGTGGGCCAGCCCCTCCAGGTGATCCACGGGGAAACTGAGTCTCAGAAGAAGCCCGAGGCCGGGAGGTCTTCGCTAGGACCCCTCTCCCCACTCCCACCCTGTTCCTGATCTTGAACCTCCAAGGACAAAGATTAGTGCAGGTGGAGGAGACGAGGGGGGTGTGGTGACAGATCTCTGCTCTTTGTCCCAGAGGTGGCATTGGTCTTTTTCTTCAGATAAAGGCCTGGGGGAGGCGGCCTCTTTCCTCCCTGCTGCCAGAGGCTCCCTGGAACCTTGGGCAACCTGGCCCCTCCCCAGCCCCAGCTTCCGATTTGTTCTAGCCCTTCAATGAGGACAGGCAGGGGGAGCGCCCTGCACACAGTAAGCACTCAATCAATGCAGCAGTTACTGTTTTCAGTGTCAGGGTTCAGGGTCATGGCTCAGGCTCCTGGCTCCCCCTCACCCACAGTACACACACACTTTCCCTCCACACCCACACATTGGGAGTGTGTCTGCACCCCCGCTGTGTCCAGTACACGGTCAGTGAATGTGTAGAGAGGAGTTCTTTGGGCGAATCTCCAGCAAGGCTCAGGGGCAGGGCCTTTTACTGCCTCATCTGCAGAAGAGGACACTGCCTGGGGCATTTGCTGAGTGTCACATGGAGAATGATCCCGAAAGCAGAGGATCTGCCAGGTCTGTGGGCACAAGAGCCCAAACTGGCCTTTTCTGACTCCATGTCAGAGGTCCTCAGGAGTGTGTGTGTGTGTCTGTGTGAGACCCCCCACGGGGACACAGGTCCACGTCAGGGGACGTTGGGTTTTCACATCTGGGACAGGTGCCATAGGAGTGCCACTCAGGACCCTGCAGTGCCCGCCCTGCCCCAGAGAACAAACCAGCCCCTGGGTCAGCACTGCCACCGGGGAAGAACCTGTGTTAATTTGTAAGCACTTTGGGCCAGGACTGTGCTCACAGCATCCACCAGAATAAACGGCCAGTGGATTACAGTGTAGACGGGGCCCTCCCACTCCACTCTTGAGATCTCTCCTCCCTCCTTCCCACTCAGTGCGTGGATTTCAATGTGGGCAGCGCCTCAGGACGTCAGAGGATTGTGGGACACGGAGTCTCATCGGGGTCAGGAGAATCTCCAACCCAGGGGTCCTCACTGGGGGCGATTCTGGTCCCAGGAGGCACTTGGCACTGTCCTGGGACATTTGTGGTTGTCACGACGGGGGGGGGGGCATTGGCATCACGTGAGTGAAGGCCAGAGATGCTGCTGAACACCCCACAGCACGCAGGGTGGCTTCACCCCGAGAAGGCTCGAACCCCATGTCAGCAGTGCCGAGGGGGAGACACCCCGCACTAAGACTGAAAAAAAAATGATTGACCACCCCAGCTCACGGGGAATCAAGTCCCGGTGACAGCAGCCTGACTTGGCCACTTTTCCCTGTCCCCTAACATTGAAACGCTAGCCTCTAGTTCCCAGCGCCCCTCATCAGAGCTGGGGTGGAGAGGCAATGGCAACTGCAGCCACACACTCCCTCCAGCGGCCCTTGGGCAGCTCTGTGCTCCTACGGTGGGCACTCAGAGTGACCAGGGGATGCCTGCCTCGGGGAGGTCACAGCCCTGGGCGAGGTGGGCACGTTAACCAGGTCCAGACCCCAGACGCGACTCTGGGCTCGGGACTAGGCTGGGGGGCTGCCCTGGTACTGCCAGAGCTTGGAAAGAGGTGCTGGTTGCAGACCACTGCGGAAGCCAGGCTGAGTGGAGGCCGCGGTGGGCCCAGGCCCGCACCCACGCCCCGTGTCCCCGCAGGAGTCGTGACGCTGCTAAGCCTGTATCTTCTCTTCGGCCACGGGGCCTCTCTGCTGTGCAACCTCATCGGATTTGCTTACCCCGCATATGCTTCGTGAGTGCGGGGCGGGGAGGGGGCGGGGCGCGGAGGGGAGCGGCTGGGCAGCCCCTGACCTGGCCCTGCCCCCCCCAGAATCAAGGCTATCGAGAGTCCAAGCAAAGAGGACGACACTTTGTGGCTCACCTACTGGGTGGTGTACAGCCTTTTCGGGCTGGTCGAGTTCTTCAGCGATCTACTCCTGTTTTGGTTCCCTTTCTACTACGCGGGCAAGGTGGGGGAGATGGGGCGGGGCAAGACGCGGGGG